TGGGGGCGCCCCACCCCCACCCGCTCGGACCCCGCTCACCTGCGACAGGGGGCAACAGGCGGCTCCAGCTGGGGACAGGGGTCCCCCAGGAGGGTCCTCAGGGCCGCACAGACCCCCTCGCCCAGGGAGGTCAGATTGTAGCCACCCTGGGGAGGGGGGGAAAACGGGTCAACACCACCCCCGGCCCTGAGCTGCAGCCACCTCTGGGGCGGGGTGGCTGGGGAACAGCCACATATAACGCCGCCCGGGGCTGAGCTGCAGTCAGTTCTAGGGGGGAGCCTGCACCGTGGGTCAGCTCCACACTCACCTCCAAAGACAGCAGCACCTTGCCTCCCGCCAGGGCCATGAGCAGATGAGTCAGGTGCGCGAAGCACGCGGCCGACGCAGCCATCTCGCCCTAGGCGCAGACGCAAAGGTCAGTTTGCCAGGCTCCCTCCCCGCCCCCTAGACCGGCCGCTGCCCTTTGAAACGAGCCCCAGGCCCCCTGCCTAGACCCTGGGGCGCCCCCTGTGGGCAGCGCTGCGAAACACGGCGGATTGGGGGGGCACTTACCTTGGGGTCCCCGAGCACAGAGTCGAACCCGGCGGCCACCAGAACCAGGTGGGGTTGGAACTGAGAAGAGAACAGAGGAGATCGCAGCCCGGACCCAGCACGCCCCGGATCGCGGCCAGCGCCCCCCAGAGGGGACGGGGCCCACCCCATTCCCACCCCCTGAGTCAGCCCCCTGCCTTGGGGCAGATGGCAGCCGGTGCCCCCTAGAGGGGACAGACCCCGTACCCCGTTCCCCGCCCCCCTGAGCCAACCAGTCCCTGCCCTGGGGCCGGGTGGGAGCCGGCATCCCCCAGAGGGGACAGGCTCCTGCCCCCACGTACCTCAAAGGCCACTGGCAGTAAGACGTGTAAAAAGGCAGCGAGATAATCCCCGTCCCTCATTCCCACCTAGATGGAGAGACGCAGACCAGTTAGATGGGTCTGTGGGAGGTCAAATGCAGCCACTTCTGGGGTGGGGCAGCTGGGGAACGGCTGCACATAACGCCGCCCAGGGACGGCTTGCCCCCCACGCAGCCCCCGCCCCGGGCAGGGCAC